GCTCCAAGTTCAAACCCAAGAAGTAAGTACAACTTGCTAACTTACGTGTCAAATGGAAACCAAGTCAATTCACACTAATTTCGTGCTCTTGAATGCGGTTACTCTATATCTCAAAGTTCCCTCAGTCCGTACACCTAAAGATAGGCTCACTTTTCTTGAAAACCAAGAATTTTAAAACATAAGAAGAGTATTTAAAGTAACAAAAATCTTATCAAGTTCAAGATTTACATTATAAAAACAATAGTTCGCCATTCTTCCGAAAACTCAAGATTTTTTTTTTCGTGTAAATCATAGACAAATTCAAGTGTGAGAATACACCAGTATACAATCAAGGGGAAAAACCTAGTTTAGATAATTTTAACATGGTATCAGCCCATCATATACAAAATTCAACAAACTCATCAGTTATTCACAAAATTTCAAATTGAAATTCATGTAAAATTCACATATTTACCAAAATCGAAAAATTATACATACTTAAAGCATATATATATTATTTCCAATCATTGTTTGAAAATAAAACTAGTACATCCTCGTTTTTTTTAGAATTTCAAAGCAGAAATTCTCTAGGAGATAAATGGGCGGGAGAATGCATTTTATTCCTTTGAAACTCTTTTATCTTGGTTCAAAATTACCATACATGGAGTTTGACCAACAAATCTCGGTCTCTTATCCTCTTTAGCCTGTACTAATAATTGCCTAATATCTTTCCACACTTACAAGTATAATAATAATTCAAATTCGTCCAATCTTTCACTACTAATCTCTCATCCCATATTTTCCTTCAATATAACATCACCTAATTCCTCAATTTTTATTTCTACAAGTCCCAAGTAAGAAACTCTCAAATAACCAATTTCTTTAAGCCCTAGGATACAATAGATCCTCTAGTTCACATAATATTCAAATTAATCCCACAGTCAGGCATCCTAAACTTTAAGCTAAGGATACACTACAAGACCTAGAGCCTTGCTCTGATACCAACTGTGACACCCCCACTTCTCCCAAAGGCGTACCTAAGTGTATCGGCGGGGCGCCTGCCTAGCTCTCGCCAGGAGTCAGGTCCATTCATACCTAAACTAACAAGCAATTAATGGCTAAATGAGGCAAATTAAATAAAATTCATTTCCTTCAATATATTCAAACTTACAACACAAGAATCCGACATATACATTCAGATTTCCAGAATACAAGTCTATAACTAGCCCTTAAATTTCATTTCCAAAGTTCTAAAATATCAAAAGCAAGTCGATCTCTTCAAAACATCTCCGATCCAGATTCCTGTTAAGGAAAACAACTAATGGGGTAAGCAATCGCTCAGTGAGGCCAAGAAAAAAAAAGATAAAATAAAATAAAACATGCGCACGTAATTCAAGTAACATGATCAAGTGATCAAAAGTAATTGTCATGTAGTTTCAAATATTGGCAAGTACTCATAAACACCAACAATTCAAGGATACTGGAGCTCTCCGGAGCTCATTTCCAGATTATTTGCCATAGTCCCGATCCGTGAACCAGGGGTTGACACTCCGTCAACCGAATAAATATCCAATCTGTAGATCTCCACTTACTTCCCTCCACCCATAATTTCACCCTCTCGGATCCGTAACCAACAGGCGTGTAAAGGCGATACTATACAAGTAGGCCAAGCAAGATCTCAAAAGATCAAGCTTCCGGTCCCAAGGTTTACCAAGTTTTCCCGACCAAGACCTCACGATTGGCTGCCAGATTACGAGGTTTAACCATTGGGTTTGGGCGTCCCCACAGGTCAGGTTTTCAAAAACAAATCAAGTTTTAGTCGATGAGATTTTCTCTGCATTCAACTTCAGGTCATATATATGTAAAATCCAGTAATTTCATGTAATTCATGTAGCAAGTCATGTATTGATCCAAGTAAAGGAGATGAAGTGCGGTAAAGTACACACTTCTCTCAACAAGTATAGTTCATGTAACAACAAGTTCAAGTAGAGTTCATGTGGGCAACAAATCTCAAGTGAAGTGCAAGTAAACATGCACTTGACACTCAAGTATCAAAAGTCAAAGATTGAGAAATTAGCTCTAAGACGCTTCGCCGGGAGTTCCCTCGAAGTCCTCTTGAGATCCTGAAAGTATGCAATAATGCATTGTATCTCAAATTCCAGGCCATACAGTATTCGTGTAAAGAAAAGAAATAGTCAATTTTGACTCCAAAATTCAAGTTTCCAAAGTATTTCAGTTCATAAGGAACCGACTTTCAAATGAGGTCTCAAGTGATAGGGGAACTCAAGTTCACCATGAAAATAGGTTTGAAATGCTCTAAGAGTTGTAAAACTGTAACCTAGGCCCTTAAAAGAACATTTAGGTCCAAATTGGAAATTTTCACTTTTCGAGTCATTCTTGGAAAAATCAGTCTGGAAGTCCGGATAGTCTAAAAATGGAAACTTTTACACCGTCAGAAACTTCATTCGAAGCATAACAACTTTGTAGAAGGTCACTTTTCAAGAATCAAATCAGAAACAAGTCAATTTCTCCAAGAAAGTTTACTATTCATTGAAGATAGGTCAAAACAGTCCAAGTTTTTCCAATAACTTTGGAATTTTGCCAAAAATCATAGAATCAAAACCAGCCTTTGAAATTTGATATGCATGTAAAGTTCCAATCCATGTTTCAAATAAAATAAAAAAAAAGGGAACTCGACTCCGATGTTCCTAGCTCAAGAAATAAAAAGTTGAAGTTCGCTAAAATTCCTGGACTGTTGGCCTTTCCAGAAATTTTCCAGATTTAATGCACTTCGCTAATTAGGCCGTATCTCACTCGATTCTCAGTGAAATTGAAAATGGTTGGTGGTGTTAGAAACTAGGTTCACAAGGATATATTTATGTAGAAGAAATCATTTCCTTTCCAAAATCCAGACATAAGCGGTTCAAAATCAAGCAACAAAATGGATTTTCTGGACAGTCTCGGATGAACAGTAATAAACAGGCAGCCAACTTTCAAAACTCGCCACGAATTGCTCGGGATGAACTAGAAAATGAAATTGGTACCATTTTAAAGATCTAAGAGTCTACTTTCAAATTCCGCAAACGGCACTCAATTTTGATCATCGAGAAAAATGTTATGATCTCCACAAGATCAATGGTCAGAAAATTTCTGGACTTTGTCCAGTTTTGCCTCTTTGCTCATAACTCAAAATTTATCCAACCAAATTGGCTAATTTTAATTTTTTTTTTTTAGATAACCACCACACACATAACACAACATATATCACTCATATTTGTAGCCAAATTATGCACGAAAATATCAAAGCAAAACAGGGCAGCAAGTCCTTGAAATTTCGAACAACAGCTTCTCCAAATTTCTAACTTTCTTCCAACTTCATTCCATCAATCATTCTATATACATGTAACATAGCACAATATCAGCAACCACAACATGTTAATTCATCAAATCAGCCACCAATAAGCATCCTCAAGCCGTCCAGTATGCCGTGAAATTGCAATAAAATAATTACTCAACCAATCAACCAAAATTCTTCCATAGGTTGCAAACCCACGCTACCTTTGCTCCATTTGAGCTATAATTTTGCAAGATTGAAGTGTGGGTGAGTGAGTTACCTCAAGAACTTAGTTGGACAGCTTTAGGGCAGAAATTTTGACCGAAATTCCTCCAAGAAAACCGATGAACAGCCCCCTCTTCCAAGCTAGGATCAAAGCCCTCTAATGGATGATGAAATTTGGAAGTGAATTGAAGTAATTTTGTAAGGATTTTGGCTAGATTTTTCTTCCCTTTTTTCTTCCTATATTCGGCCAAACAGAGACAGTGAAGAGAGGAGAGAGAGTGCAATTAGATTTTGTAATGAAAGTGGAGAGAATTGGTGACTTAATGGTTTAAGTCTAAGTGTCAACTCATGCTCGGTCCATTTAGGGTCTTCGCGTGTCCAATTTTCGCGCTCGTTTGCAACTTTTGTGCACTAAACCTCTAAGGTAATTTCCCTAGTACATTAATAGTACATTACTAGTAGTTTAAAATTTGGGCATTGAAATAATATGCGCTTAAAGAACCAATCAGTAAAATTTATTTTCGAGAATTCATGAACTTTAGTAATTTTTTGGGTAACTCGAGTACGAAATATTTTTAAAATGACCAATTTAATAATATTTTGAAATAATAAAATTATGGGTCCTCACACTCGACCAAAGATTCAAAATTCAATTAAACAAATTGAAGGATCGGTTCGATCGATTTGATCGTGTCTCCAATCTTGTTCAATGGTAATCCTAAAATTCAATTAAATCGAAGAACCTTAAATCAAAGAGTAGTTATGAAGTATACAGAATATGCAATAACGAGCCAAGTTCAGTATGATCGATTTGTTAGACTCGATCGGTTTGATCGTGTCTACTTCGATCGGTTCGATTGTGTTTGGTTCGATTGATTCGATCATGTCTTCACTACATTCACTAAAACCCAGTATTGTTCACTAAATTTTTACTAATTTAAAAACATTATTTTAGTTAAATTCAAATTTTTTTAATACATTCATAAATAAAACATGGTTAAACCTGTTCCGGGTTTGAAAACATTGGTATATTTGTTTTTATTATTGTCGGTTTGAATTGTTGTTTTTTGAAAAACTAATTTTTCCATTGTTTTAAAAAATTATTTAAGAAATTTAGAGATAAAAGTTTGAAACGGATTCAGTCAATTAGCTACTGTTACCTCAAAATTTACCTCAAAATTTAGTTGGCGTGGCATTGGCCAGTACTAAGTGTTTTTGGACAAAATTTAGTTGCTGCGTATAATAATCAAACAAACCAAAACTCAAAAGCTTCCTTCAAGACAGCCTGTATATGGGAAACAATGTCTAGGTCCTAACTTTCAAATAACAATGGAAAACCAACAAACCACATCTTGACCACTCCTTGAATTGCAAATTGAAATAAATGACAGCCACTAGTAGACCCCCTAGCAATTCAAATAGAGAAGAATAGGTCCAGCAAGCTTAGCAACTATAAAAGATACTAAATCAAATTATATTGGCTCAAATCAACTTCAATCCCGAGTCCATCCTCACGAACCCAACTGATTTCCTCATTTTCGTTCTCAACAACAGGATTGCCTACATCACTTTGCAAATATGTCTCAACATCCATGGTTGTGCCCATGTTATATCCAGCTCTTGTAGTGGTAGAGATAACAACTTGCCAATCCTTATCAGTTGGATCCTCTGCATAAAAAAACCTATGGTGCTTGTGAAGCGAGTATAAATGGCTCAACATGAGGCCTCACATTTGCAAAATTGACTACAGTAAACCCATTGGCATCTTGTTTCATTCTCGAACCATTCGATATCCAATCACATTTGAATAACACCACCTGATGACCTCCGCAAATTAATTCAATTATATTTTTCAAGACGCCAAAGTAAACTAGTTCACTTAAAACTGGATTTTGATCCCTTACACTTGCAAAACTGGATGTTGTTGCATTGACTGTAACACCACTGTTCTGCGTTTTTCTTTTCTTCTCAACTTCGTTGGTATGAAACCAAAATCCATTCACAATGTACTTGTCATGTTGGATTCCAACAACATCTGGAACTTTAGCAAGGAACCTCAAGTCTCTCAACACCGAAACATTTTGAGAAAGTTCTACCTTGTCAATCTGAAAAAAAAAAAAAGATGAAACTATATTTGAAGTCCTACAATTCGAATCATACTTAATATTCAGAATTTTACTTACATGTTCAGCAAACCAACAAGCAAAATTTTCGCTATGCAAGTGCTCTTTTAGATGCTGTGGAACTTGAGGATGTCCTTCTTCTATCAATCTACGATGCTGCCTAGAAGTACATGAGTCAAAATTGTAATCATACATTGAATTCTACAATAAAATTTTAATGCAATAACAATGTAGTTGAACTTACTCTATGTAAGGTGTGACAGCATCACAGTTAAATAAAATATACTGATGCGCTTTACTCAAGATATGAGCATCAAAGACTGTTGGCTTACCCCTCCCCAAAGGATGTCCTGATTCAGAGAATATATCTAAACCATCTTCAATTTCCTTACATACTTCTTCATTTCTGCTTGGACGATTGAATTTTGTCTCAACATAGTCCGCAAGATACAATGAGCAAAAGTTAATGCATTCTTCTGCCAAGTAGCCTTGAGCAATCGAACCCTCAGGCCTACTTTTATTTCAAACATAAGATTTTAATGTTCCTAGGTACCTAAAGTATCATCATTCCAAACTCTCTAATTAGTTCCAAAAATCAAAGAAAGCAAAAAAGGAATAAACATTTAGGGCATAATTAGAATTACAAGCAGTACCTCTCAACAGGATACATCCAACGATAATACACCGGCCCACCTAATTTCACTTCAGTTGCCAAATGAACAACTAAATGCATCATGGCATCAAAGAAGGTTGGTGGAAAGCATTTCTCAAGATCGTAGAGTATAATGGCAATTTCACTTTCCAAACGAACCACATCTTGAGGACAAATAGCTTTAGAACAAAGCTGCCTGAAGTATCTACTCAATCGAATCAAAGGATAGCGCACAGATTTTGGCAAAGTCTTTCTCAAAGCTATAGGCATCAATTGCTGCATTAGGATATGATTATCATGGCTTTTAAACCCCGAAATTCTTGGTGGTTTTACTCAAACGCATCTTGAGATGTTAGCTGCATAACCATCTGGAACTTTCACCTTTTTTAGCACATTGCAAAACATAGTTTTCTGTTTTTTATCCATTGCAAAGGAAGATGGAGGTAAGTACACCTTTCCAAGTTCTGTCTCAATAGGATGCAGCTCTTTTCTTATTCGCATTTCTCTCAAATCACGGCGGGAATTATAATAGTCCTTTTCTTTATCCTCAATGTCCAGCTATGTCCCCAAATGTTTTCACAAACATTCTTCTCAATGTGCATGAAGTCAAGATTGTGTCTTAAGACATTATCTTTCCAATATGGCAAGTCAAAGAAAATACTCCTTTTTTTCCAATTAAAAGGCAGCTTCGGATTACCTTTCACAAGTTTGCCAAATTTAATTTGCAAGTCTCCCAATTCACTCACAATCATATCCCCAGTTTGCAAAGGTGGTCGCTTTCCATATTCTTCGGTGCCATCAAAGAATTGGGCTTGCTTTCTAAATTTGTGCTTACTATCTAAGAATCTACGATGACCCATATAGCAATATTTGAAACTATGAGTCAACCATCGTGTATGAGTGAATTTGTGACAAATAGGACAAGCATATTCACCTTTAGTGCTCCACCCAGATAACATTGCATATCCTGGGAAATCACTAATGGTCCACAATAGAGATGCATGCAATTGAAATTTTTCTTTTTGGGATGCATCATAAGTTTGAATGCCAAAATCCCACAATTTGGTCAGTTCTTTAACTAGAGGCTGTAGATAAACATCAATATTATTCCCAGGAGAGGATGGTCCGGGTATTAACAAGGACAACATGAAGTACGGTTGCTTCATACACATCCACAGAGGTAAGTTATATGGTATTAAAACCACAGGCCAAGTACTGTGTGTAGAACTCATGTTGTTGAATGGATTAAACCCGTCAAATGCCAACCCCAATCTAACATTTCGACAATCCTCAGCAAATTCTGGATGTAGATGGTCAAAAGTTTGCCAAGCTAGAGAATCAGCTGGATGTCTCATACAACCATCTTTTGTACGTTTTTCCTCATGCCATCTCATTTGAGATGCAATTTTAGAAGACATAAATAGTCTTTGTAATCTAGGTTTTAAGGGAAAATGCCACAACACTTTTTGAGGAATTTTCCTTTTTTCCCCAGTTGGATCATTTTCTGAAGCAACCCACCTAAGCTCGTTACATGTTTCGCATGAAGTTCTTTTTTCAGCACTACCCCAATAAAGAGAACAATCATTAGGACATGCATCGATCTTTTCATAACCCAGCCCCAATGTATTCATCAATTCTCAGCCTCATAGTAAGAAGAAGGCAAATTAGTCATGGCCTCCGGAAATGCTTCTCTCAACAGCTCAACAAGCATATTAAAAATCTTGTTACTCATCTTACCAAGGCATTTTAGGTGAAGCAAACGAATAATGAAAGACAACTTCGAGAAATTTTTGCAACCACTGTACAAATCCTGTTGAGAATCATCAATCAATTTGTAAAATTTTTCAACCTCTGAAACAGGAATGTCCCCTTCTCTATTCAATTCACTTGTTCCATGTGGTATCCCAAATACATCATGGACCAAGTCTTGCATGTCATTAGTCTCATTTGAAACCCCAATTGATGTATTTTCAGAATTAGATATGGCTTCATTGTAGTTTGAAAGTTCTCTATGTGCTATCCAATTATTATAACCCTTGATAAATCCTACCACTTTCAAATGATCATATGCTTCCATTTTAGTCACACAAACACCCATGCCGCAATCTTTGCAAGGATACAAAATCATTCCTTCACAACTTGATCTAGAAAATGCAAAGTTTAGAAACATTTGAAGTCCTGTCTCGCACTTTTCACTTGTTCTTGGAAAATCCATCCAACTTTTATCCATACTTTTAATATAAATAAATGTCCTCCAACAAGCTTCCAATAGCATGAAAACAACAACTACACATTAGTACTAAATCAAGCAGTCTCTAATTGCAAGTTCAAGAATTTACAGTCTCCTAAATCAAGCAGCACAACAAATAAAGGAAATCAACAAAATGCACAATTTCTCAACAATCTGTCCAAAAAGAAATTGCAAGCAAGCGAATAGAAATTTTATTTACCTAATAACAGGACAAAGCTCTTCGTACTAACTCCTGCGCTCGCGTCTTCGCAAAATTCATAAGTTCAATCTGAAATGTCAATGGTTAAACAAACATATGACCGTGAAGACTAAAGCTGAATTTCAAGACTCTTACTAAATTTCCATCAAAGTATACATACATCTGTCACAGTCATAATCTTTCACAGTCATGTCTTAATGGACTAGTTTCCAAGTTATGGGAGTTTGATGCATGAAAGTATACACATTGACATAATTGTAGCTGAAAGAAGCTTGAATTAGGTTGACAGGGACAAATGCACGGTGACTGTTAAGAAGGTTTTGATTGATTAATGTATTGAAGTTAGATGACCAGGGGTTAGATTTCAGCCATCAACCTCGCTTCGCTCTCAGCTTGCTGTCTTGCTTGGCTGTATCAATGTGACAGATTATTTAATATCTATTGGCTGTATTAGTGTGCATAGAAACAGAAACCAATAATGTTGCTTAGCATTAGATCCAAAGAAAAAAGGAAACTAAGAAACCTCTACACTAGCCGACTAAATTTAAGCCAACTAAAACTTGAAAGAAACATATATCACAAGAAGTTCTTTTCACATTTGGATAAATGTTGCTGCACAAAATCAATCAAGAAAAATATGAACATAGTTGCTTAAAGAGAACTTCAATTATAACTAAGTTTCACAGATTAACATTAAAAGAGATTCAGAGAAAATAATGACAAACAGGAGGGGTTGATATTTTATCAAATAGGTTATGGGCAACAGGTTCATTGTGTTTACCACTTTCTTTTGGAACAACATATGCCTGAAGTATCTTCCCGCTTTCCCAATGTAGAACTCCAATCTTCTAACTTTTACTCCTTGCCTGCCCTCCCAGATGTCTTAGCCGAGGGACAATAGTTGATGTTAGAATGGATGAAAATGGTTTTCAAGGTGCTTGGATTCCTACAACTTTCTTTTGGCCGAGATATAGCTTGTTTGCGGAGAGGTGAGAGAGATGAGAAGCAGAAAATTTTGGCTGAAATGTTAAGCTTGTTTGCCGGCAGAATGAAACTTCAAAGTATTTCACCAAGTGTTTCACCAAGTATTTCACCAAAGTGTTTTGGATTTTGCCGGCAAAATGTTTTGGCAAATTTTCACCAAGTTTTGGCAAAATAAAACGACGTCGTTTTGTGTCTTTTTTTTTTTTTCATCTCACATTTTTCCTAGTGTCATGATAGGTAGTCTAAAGGCACATTATTATTTTCATATCAGATAAAATAAAAAAATTATAGTACCTATTATTGAGTTGATTAATAAGTATCATGATATGATTACTATAATAACACAAACCAGAAAGTGTCCTTATAGGAATGTCAGGAAAGACTATTTTTGTTGTAGTGGCAAAAGCAGGTGCACATTCTTTGGGAATTGACCATAAAATGACAACGGAATAACCGCCTTCTGTTTGGCTCAAATTGTTGCTTTTCATAATCTTCTAAAACCAAGGTGTGAAGATCTTGTTCCTATAGGCTTACCATTACAAATGTGTAGTAACGCTCGTATACTTTCAAGTTAAGGACTTTGTGAACATTGAACTCAAGTCTCGACGGGGTGGGGAATGTCTTGGTTTTGTTGTGACCGTTGAATCTTTGGTTTTGATTGAAGTGAATCCTAGCCGTAAATCTTCTTTCTTTTAATTTTTGTTTTGACTTTTTAGTTAACATGAGGTTTTGGCAAATGGCAACTATATAAACCAGTGCATCAAAAACTGCCACTAATCTCTCGAGTTCTCAGCCTCCTATTTTAACCATTGTGAATCAATTCTGGGTTTTCTTGACTATATATACATGCATACATATATATGGGTTTTCTTGACTATATATATATATATATATATGGGTTTTCTTGACTATTTTAACCATCATGAATCAATTCTGGTTTTTCTAATCAACTAATTTTTTTAATGATAGTTGGATCAATGAACAAGGACCAAAAGCACTCCTGAAGCATACAAGTACACTATATATGCTGCAACTGCACTAGTTTGAATGATGTTCTATCAAAAATTTGTTAGAAAACATTTATGCAGCATGGTGTAAGCTTTTGTTTCATCATTGAGATAGTACTCTCAAATTTAAATTTACAAGGAAGCTTTCATATATGATCTGAGATTTAGAAGTTGGAGGAAAATAGAGAATCTGAAAATCTTTTAACTAGGAGCTCAAGTCAAAGTTCTAGACCGTTACAAAATGAAAATATTAAAATGTCAGAACCAGGTCAATGAAGACATGATACAGGCCAAGAAACTCTACGTGAGAAAAGAAAAGGAGTGTTTTGTTTTTTTTTTTGGGAGGGGCGGGGGGGTTGTTAACAGCAATAGCACTGAGCCTTTTCCTACTCCATAGGCTTTGTAATTGGGAGCTACCGCCAAGGACTAGAAGCAGAGAAAATTCAAGAAGTCAAACTCTTTGTGGTTTTGATTCTTTTGAACATAACCTTAATCAGATTTCCAATTCATAATGATACGAACCAATTACGCCAAACTAAATATAGATGCAAATATGTTTAAATTACTCAGAGGAGATTGCCAATGCAAAACAAAAGTTGTATAGTTAAACTACACAAAAATCAATGAAACTATGCAATCTGAATCCTAGTACCAAATAATCGTCGTAGAGAATAACAAACTACCAAAACAATGATTGCGATAAAAGAAAGACACATGAACTAGCTAAACATTTGCTATAATTAATCTCCGACATCTTTAAGTCAAATCTTCCTTTCCTCTCTCCTTTTCTCAAATATTACCCCCCCCGGGCGGGCGCTAGAAATTTTATTTTATTTTTTAAAGTCTTTATAAGTTTTCTTCTTTGTCGATTTTCCTTCAAGCTTACCAGACTGTTTATATTGCTTGATCTTCTCATGTTTCCCTTGTGGGTGATTTACCTTCCAACTGACCAGGCTGGGAGTAAAGTTGTATACATACCTCTTCCCAGGAGGAGGACTATAAACGTATTCTTGTTTTGTTCGAATATTGTACTTGAAATCAGAGTGGTCACATCGCCGAAACCAGTAACAATCATTGCTGAATGAGCAAGGTAAAAGCGTGTGCACAGTCTTTGGGAATTCACCATAAAATGACAGCGGAATAACCACCTTCCTTTGGCTCCATTCTTGCTTCTCGTAATCTTCTAAAACCAAGGCATGAAGATCTTGTTCCTCCATACTAACCAGACAGAATTTATCTTCCCAGGCATTGCACGTAACATGCTTAAAACTCGGGAAGATATCTTGCGGGATCTTGATATGAGAAAAGTGCTCGCGATGTATCTCAAGACGAACTACTTCTGAAACGCCAAATCCAACATCATCAAAAAACCTGCAGACATACCATGCTCGATCAATTTTCATGGCCATGGTCGGTGACTCTCCTTTTCCTCCGAGGTTATAAAAGTGAGGACAATCGATGGCTCTCCATGCGAGATCAGTGCCGACTGTTAGGACTTGACAGCCTCCATCTTCTGTTCCTTCCTTACAATAGACATTAGCCAACTTAATATTGCTGTAATTGGCCTCTGAAAGATGGAACAGCCCTATGCACCCGCGTTTGCCTTTTGGGTCAGGCAGATCCTGGACCTGCTTAGTTATAGGGTTCCTGATTCGATATTTTCCAGTCAGATTACTCGTCTCAAGTAATATCCCATCCTTGCTGCTCAAACACTTGAATATTTCTTTATCTCCATTGTCTTTCGTGTTTTCCTCGTATACATAGACAACATTTGATCGTCTCAAATGCTTTACAGTGAACATGGGGTCCTGAATTAAACAACACCACAACTTGCATACACATTTACATCTTCCCACAGATTGAGCAGGCAATCGAATTAAGATCTCAATAATTAGATCATCAGGAAGAAATTTTTCTTTGCTTCGAACCTTGTCGTATATCCTCAAACTGCGCCGTACATTCTTCAACTCGTTCATTTTAGTACTCCGAAGTCTTGATACGTAGGACGGAGGGAGTGGTATTGTCTCAGCAAAGCACAATAGTTTGGATTATACTTTCTCGTGAACCAGATGCGGTGAATTTTCAAGAGTCACAAGGAAATTCTAAAATTGACACAATATGGTATTGTAGGTGTGCCGTAATGTGAACCAGAAACAAGACATAATCACATACACAGGTGAGAAACAAGTACAACCTGGTTCAGCAGACTGATGTAACTTTTATACCTGCGATGTAAATTTAAGCCACTTTAGTATAAATTTGTTAACAAGCAAAGTCCACAATTACACAAAATTTATGGAAGTTTACACCAGCTCTTATAATTCTAACTTCTGTTTTTTTTTTTTTTTAAATTTGGTTTTCTGATAATGTCCTCGCCTCCATTTAACTTCTATTAGTTTGCTTTACCAATTTCCTGAGTCAAAACTTTCAAGGTTTTTCCTAATTGACTTGAATATGTGAGATTACACCATCATGTCCCAAATCTATCTAACAACTTACCCACAGAGAACTTAACTAGACAAATACATGAGCCACGGCAATAACTTAAGTTGATTCAAGAATTTCTTCTGTCTCGCGTTTCTTTAGATACAAATTCAATGACTCTAATTACTTCAAAGCATATTAGTAGATATTCTGAAACAAAATTCAGGAAAACCAATTATTGCTTGTAGCGTCTTAAACGCTAGTTTATGCTACCACAAACTTACCTGTATTAAACAGATAGAATGGGCTATTAAAACATATTAAATCAGTATTAAGACAAAATCAAGAATCGAAACCCCGTATCTCATTGTGTTGACGTATCAACAAAAACAAAGCTCAGGAATTCCAAGACTGTAATGCAATTTTTCCATGTACAAGCAGTAGTGTCATGGAGGAACTTACCGATTAGGTTTGAGACTTCTGACCAGCAAGGATTCATTGACGTTTAACTCGTTGTGCTATCTCAGGCAAATTGTAATGTATAGACATTAGTTATAAGATACAAGTCATAAAATATTCTTACCAATTGCAATTTTAGTATAACTAAACTACTTATTTTTATCCATATCCCTAGATATTAGATACATGCCTCCTCTCTTCAGTCACTGTACCAAATTAATTCGTGAAAGTAGTGAATCAAATTAATTATTATCAGGCTTCTTTTTTTAAGGTGTCTGCGTTGTTACTAGTTTTCATCTTAATTTGTATGGGCGTATTTCATAATGAAGTTGATTTGTGTTGGAACACCAAGAACATCTACGACACTTGATTTGGGACTCTTTTTTATTTAATTCTTTTGTTATTCTGATTTCCTCAAGAAATTGTCTCCTCTTGTGTTGGACTATTTTAGAAGAAGCTTTTACAATGCTAATGTTTGTGCGTCAACTATAGTACTTCAGTTTGCACTTTAATTTACCTAAAAAAATTGTCTGCTGGTTTAATTGGTAATATGTTAGTGTTTAAAACCAGTATAGTGCTATTATTTTCTTCAACAAATATCTTATTTTAATTTTTTTTATTTCCTTAGATTCCAATAACTAACGATGGCAAGGGATCATAGAGACATGCATAATGAAAATTTTAAATTTTTTTATTCCTTTAGTAAACCATCCTCTAATTAATTCGATGACACATAGAGTTTGTTTAAAAGATTAACTCAATTCATCAAGAACTTTTCAAACCAGTGGAGAGTTTATTCAATTCATCGTGTTCTTGTTTAGTGTTTAGGTAAGGATATGACAGGAATTTAAATTATGTGCTTTCTTACAAATTCTTTCAGATTACATAGAGTAGCACGTGGATATCATATAAAATATAGAGAGATTAACTTGCAAAATTTGGAGTTGTGACCGTATGGTGCGCAAATTCTTTAGAACTAGTATATTGAACTTCTTATGCCACAATAACACTGATACAATCTCCATTGTAAGACGAAGCTCATGACCAACAAACTTGGATCATGATGGTGATGTTCAGTTTAGGCAGCGGAAAATCTACAATCCAATCTAACCCTTGAGGTACCTGTGAGAACCCGAAAATTCCTTTAGAATTTCCTCTCATTTTTAAAAAATTAATTTATATTTCCTTCTATATTTCTTTACTTGACTATTTAACTATTTACTAGCTCTAAATTTCATGGTGATTTCGTTAGTTGAGTCAAGAGTTTTACTTTTACTTTTAAAGTTAGAGAAAATTAGAGTTTTGGTGCATTTTGGTCGTGTGATCGATTGATGAGGTGTGTGCATTAAATTTGGTGGATAAGAGCGGGTATTAAATAAGAGGAAGTATGTGGTTAAAAAGTACTAAGAGTACGTAAGTTAGTGAATTATAAGTTAAAACAAAAGTGCAAGAGAGTTAAGAAAGTAGGCTTGAACAGACTCGCGCCCTTTGTACCGATCGAAGGCACCGCTTTACTAATACTTTCTTATTCTAATCTTCTTATTTTTCTTTCATTTATCCTTCCCTAAGAATTATCCTAGTGTAGCGGAAATTTTTGACCAAAGAAAAGGGATAGACTAAGACTTGATTAAGACTAAGCTATCATTCCATCACCATTTTTACTCCATTTCTTCTTTGTCTTGGCCGAATGTTGGAAAGAGAAAAAGAGAGATATTCTGGTGAAAATATTTGTGATTAAGTCATTTGTCAAAAATCCAACCAAGGTCTTGACCAAGCCTTTCTTAGTCTTCATCTTGTAAACATTGAACCAAAACCATTTCATTTTCTTGCGACCTTGGTCGAGAGAGAGAGGAGAGGAAGAGAAACAATTTCCTTCAAGTATCATCTTGATTACTAGCAAGATTTTGTGGGAAAATCAACCTCAAACCCTAAATCCATCCATAGAAGGTTGCAACAAGGAAGGAAGGAGCTTGGTATAGTATGATTTTGGAGAAGAAAGTTGTGATTTGATACTCTCCTTAGGAATTGAAGGTATTCTTGGCAAGTAACTACTTTTTCCTTTTAATCTTGCATTTAAGTTGATATATTACTTGAATATGGAAGTTTTATGAAAGATTTCATGGGTTGTGAAATTGGTGGAACTTTTTTAGCTTTGATTCATATTTTCCAGCCATGAGATGATTATATCTAGCTTTGTTATGGACTTGAGAGAGATCTGTTGCGCCCCATTTTTTCGCGATGGAAAAGGAAAAGGTGTTTATAAAAGATGTGAATTTATTAATAAATGACAATGGACCTAGAATGGGACTTTAAAAATGCGATAATTTGGGTCCAAAATTTAGTCTAAAAAAAGGTTTTTAAGGAAAATTAGGAGTCGCCACTTGGTATTGAGTTTTGGTGTACCAAGTCACCCAAAAATATTTTTTTAACAAAAATAAAATAAAATAAAACCCTTTTAGACAACTCCAGGTCTTTGAAAACAAGAAAAAATGAGTTCGGGAGTCACAGTTGAAGAAAGGGAAGGCAAAGGTTCAATTAACTCAAACCTACGGCACCCTTTCAACCTAGTCTAAGTTAGTTGCGTGGTTTAGTCAAAATTTTCTTAATCTAACTCTTAAATTTATCACGTTTGAATGTTTGATGCAAATAAAAATGCAGAGAGGGGCAAAATGTCCATTCAACGTTTAATTGATACCAATCGCATTGATTGCGAAACGCAAAATAATTCCTTGAAGGGGTCACAATTATGCAAATGATGAAATTAAAAGAGAAGAAAAAGAAAATTTAATTATATATTTAGATATAAGTGGTTAAAAAATAGGGATGCAGCATAATGGGTACGCGTGGCAAAAACTCGTGACATAATTTTCTTATACAGAGATTAATAGGGTATTTAAACTAAAAAGTTATAATCCCTCATTTCCCATATTTGAAGAATAATTCTCCTAATATAGACAAGCAAATGAACTAATTTAAATGAGATGCAATTATAAATGACATGATTAACACATATAAAGGACAAGGGATAATATAATAGGCAATATCATGCAAATGAGAAAAGATCCTAAAAATAAAAAATATGCATGAAATGTAATGAATGTCACACAACTAAAAATCCTTACTAGCGTTGGACTAGCAAGTAAACGGAGGGAGAAACCACAACTAGCCTTGGACTAGTGTGGTGACGTCGTGCATTAATAATACATAATAAAACAAATGAAGCATAAATTAAAACAAATAAACACAAAAGAGCATGTAGCATATAACACGTAAGAATGATATCTAGATGCAAAGATCCTAAAAAGACGAGTAAACACATAAACACAAACAAATAAAAGCGAATAAAGACATAACTATTACATTCGGGGGCCCTAACTACAATCTAAAGGGATAAAGAATAAAAAATAATAATCTAACTATTACAATTTGGCATTTGAATGCCTCTTAAATAATCAGAAATTAAATTAAATTAAAGTAAATATACAAATTTGAAACAAATAAAATGAATAACTAAATAAAATAAAATAAAAACATTCAGAAACATGCAATTACATACATAAAGTCATATAGGAGCACATAGGAGAATTTAAAATGACACAAAAAGATACCTCTCTTGACGTAGTAGCGAATGGCATGGGGAATGGAATTTGCCCTATTTAACTCCAAAATTAACAGAATCATCAAGGCACCAATTTAATTAACAAATAAATCATAGAAAATGGAAATAACATGAAATCTATCAATTGAAGTATTCAAATGAAATATAATTAATAATCTAAGAAGAAAAGCAACTTCTATTTAATAAATCAAATCTGTCAGGGACCTAATTATAAATATTAATAAAGTTTTGGGGTCAAATTATAATTACTACAAAAATTTGGGATCCAAATTAAAGAAAATAAAGTCTAGGGACCTATTTGTAATTAAAATAGAGACCTAATTGAAAGTAGTCAAAGTCTTTAGGGCCATAGTAAAATAATTCAAAAATTCAGGGACTGGCGTACAATTCTTACTACCAGACTCTTAAGGAATTGGGTCAACAAGCCATACTTTTTATTTCATTGGGCTAAAACCTCCAAAACCCAATTGAAAG